ATGCGAAATGCGAGTAATTATGTATGTTTGTGAGTATTATAATTAACATTTCTGGGAAAACTCGAATGCGTTGAGCAGGACAAAAGGCGAAATCCCAAAGAGATAAAAAGCCAGACGGACCGGAGAGGAGGTAAGGCAAGGGATTTTGCGCCTTCTTGGCTCACACACACTGGCACTCGCATTATAAATGAGCCGAGAGCTGTCCGCATCCTTTGGTGTTGTTGTTCTACTGGTTTTGCCAGATTATGTGCGGATTTTTGCACACAGGCCAAAGGCAGCCAAACAAAATATTCATAATGAACGGCATACACGGGCACTGAGAGAAAAGAATGATCATTTTTTAAGAGATTTTTTGGAAAATCAAAGCTTACAAAACCAAGCTAGAAATGCATTCATTTTAAATTCGCTTTTCTGTACTAGTCTTAAATAGGTTAATAAATCTGAATACTATATTTAAAAATTAAAGAAACCAAATTTTTTGAAAATTTTTAGGATACAATTTTAAAAAATATAAAAAGTTGTTACCCCTTAAATATGTATATAATCCAAAGAATATTTTCAGTAAAGACTGTGTATCTTTCAGATTTCGATGTCCCCTAATTAAAAAGTACTCGCTTTTATTAATAATATTTCATTTCAAAATCGTAAGAGCCTTACGTAAAATATTTTTGTTTAATCCTTAATCTAGGATCCTCCTATTTCGCTAAGTGCCCCTGTGTACTCACACATTCTTCAGAGAACTCCGAGTAGTACCGCCGAAAAAAGGCAGCAGCATCTCACACACAAAGCTGAATTCAAAAGAAAAACAAGAACGGACCGCATCTCGATCCTTTGGGCTTGCAGCCTCCCTGCTTCCCCCCCCTGTACCATCCCATTCCCATTCCCTTCGCCAGGAACATCCCCCTCTCGAGATCAGAAAGGTGAGAAGATTTTCTCTCTCTCTACCCGTAAGGCAGCATTCCAGGCGGCAGCTCAGGCCAAAAACTTGAGGTGAGAGGACAATCAACTCGCAAACAACTCGCAAAAGCGGCAACAACAACAACAACTATAACAGCAAAAATTCAACAAGAACAACAGGAACAGGAAGAAAAAGTTATAGACTAGCAGATACCTGGATTTTTAGTTTAACAAAATTCTAAATTCTAAACAAAAAAATATTTCATTTTAGCAAACTGAAAGTTTTGCAATCAAAAATTATTTTGTTTATGATTTTAAAAACTTTTTAAATTATTTTAACTTTCAGTTTTTCGAAATCCAAATCATAATTTTTAGAGCTAAATGCAGTTCTCCCTATCTAGATCACTTTGGCTGTTTCTGATCACCTAGACTATAACACATTCCTCTCCAGCATCCTTTAACATTTTTCCCAAAAACAATATACCCTTTTTTAAGCCCCGATAACACACCAACAAGTTGAAAATCCCATTCTGGATTCAGACAACTCGTGGCTAACTCAAAGCGCTTGCGCCTATTTAATTTGGCTGCCGCCAACATTTTCGAAGCTCCCACAGATTCCAGATTCCGTCCGGCAATCTCCATCCTGCAACCCCTTTGCCTTGTCTCCGGCATCTTGTTAACGATCATGGCAACAGGATTCTGCTATTTTGTCGCTGCTGCCCTGCGCCACACAGTAAAAAAAATAAGAAAGAAAGCAAAAAGCCGCAAAAAAATCAGTCAAGAAAAGCAAGCCAAAGCGGAAAGAATGCTGCTGGACAGAGAATGCCATGGATCGAATGCAGGATATCCTGGGATAAACAACTATAAGATGTATCAAATATTATATATTTAAATTTATCAATATCAACTTTGAAAATATAATTTTTAGATAATATGGAACTTTAAAGAACTTCTTTACATAATTTTTGAATTTTAATTTAAATGACCCATTCTATGAAAAGGAATTTAAGAGTTTAATAATTCAAAAGTTATTTTAATACTTTGAAATAGTTATCTAATTAATTTAGGAAACATATTATTTTAGGAACTAATCCAAAACAAAATCTTAAACTTCTTAATTAATTAATTTTAATTAATTAAATATATGTATGGCAATACTTTCCACAGATCTTACAAAACTTTATCAAAAATAGTGACACCCTTTTTGCTACCCCATAAAAAGCAAAAAATACAAAAAATTATGCACATTCCGGAGGCATCCACACAGTCACAACCCCCAGCCCCCCCCCAAGACCCGTCTCCAGCCCGATCCCAAACCAGGGACCGATCAGCGGCATCCCAAAAGAAATGTGCCCAGCACACGCACAACAAACCAACAAACAAACACACGCATACACTTGGCAAAAATCACAGTGAATGCAAAAAAAAAGAAAAGAAAAAGAAAAGGAAAACAAGAAGAAACAATTGACGAGCAAACAGAATAACTAAATGCAGCTCCAGCTCCACTTTTGACCACCAGTTCCCGGCGTTGTTTACCTCAGCACCAGAGGCACCACCCAAGGAGGAGTGCTACAATGTTGTGCTCTCGGAATTTGGCTTTCTCCTGTCGCCGGCTTTATTAGCCAAGTCTGCTGTTGCAACACACACACACACACACACAAACACACAGACACATGGCCCACTCTCTGTGGCTGGGCCCCCACTGCACCCGCCGGTGGAATCGCTGGCACCGAAATTCCACAAAGAATTTTAAGTGTATACAATATTAATGTCTGGGTCTGGGGCATTCTGCAAACTGCAACAGCAACGGCAACTGCAACTGCAACTGCGACGCCAACTGAGGCAGCAGCAGCAGCAGCGTCCACGAGTCCACCAGTTCCCAAATCCCCAAGTCCACACGAGTCCATGTCCATGGCCAAAACCTGATGTAGGAGCAATGTAAGAGTAATAGCCACCGCCGACGACGAAGAGGCGTCGTTGACTTTCGGATACGAGCCTGGGCACCCAAAAGTCAGGGATGCCCACTTGAAGTGCCCAGAAAAAAAAGCTGGAATAAATTAAAGAATTAAAATATATGTACCATAAATAATATGTTAAGGATTTGGTTTGCTTTGAATAATTTGCTTGAACTAATTTTAAAAATAATTATGACATTTTTGAGCTTTGAATTGAATATCGGTAACTATATCTTACCGAAAAACTTAAAAAATTTAGATTAATCAAAATTTTAAAAATAAGGAAGAAAGGTGAAGTCAATTAGTTACAGGACTAAAAATCTTTATAATACTATAATAATTTATTATTTACTTTTCGGCCTAACTGATTTTATATTTATGAAACAATTTTTAAAGTAAAGTAGGCAAACATATACAAAATCTGGAAAAACTGCAACCCAATGTTTAAACAATAAGTTTAAGAACTATTTTAAGATATGGACGTCATCATTTGTAGCAATTGGAAAATGTATTTTATTGATAAACATTTGTTTGAAGATACTTTTGTATATAGGTTTGGATTTGTGTATGATTAGAGGAAAAATGGATCAACGAATTACATTAAGAAAAGGTGGACTTTTTGTTGGATATTTATAATATTATATATAATTACAAGGAGGTTATACTTAGTTATACTTACCTAATATACTTAGGTTACAGTTAAGTATAATTCAGATTTTTCAGGGCTTTATTAAGAAAATCACAACGTTAGCTGTACTTTTACTAAGATATGAGGTCTGTAATTTCCACCTTTAGATACGTGTAACATTATGACTTAGCCCAAGAAAATTAAGAACTTCGTATACCCCTCAACCCTAAAAGGATATTCTATATATCCTAGACTCATTAAAAGAAGCCAGATTCAAGAGATCAAAGTAAAATAGCCAGGTTATCAGCACTCATGAAACCTGGACTTCGAGACGTAAACAAGGCGAGTGGGAGAGAGCAAGAGAGAGTGAGACAGAGAGGGCGAAAGAGGGGGAGGGAGTCAGAGATCGGCATCGTATCTTGAAATGAAATGCAAAGAAAAGAAAATAACAAAAACAAAGTTTCTCACGTTCCTCTTCCTAAATTCTTGGAATTGCAATACATTAAAAAGAGGTCTTTGCTTCGTCTGCATACATATGCACTTTCGGTGCGGTGCGTGTCCCGTGGCCCCGAGTATCTTTGTATCTGTGTGTGTGTCTGTGAGTGAACGGACAACAACGGACAGCGGACAAGCGGACATGCGGACAAATGGACGAACGGACAGCAGTTTTGAGCCGTGCTACAAGCGAACGCCGCCACCGCCACCGCCCGTTCAACATATTCCTTTTTCTCATCGATTTTGAGACCTATAAGTGAATGTGTCGATTGAGTGCACAGCAAGAAAAGTTTTGTAAAAGTTTTCAGAAAATATTGAATTGTAATAATAAAACAGGTAAGAGGGTTTAAGAAATATGCAACATATTTTAGGGATTTTCAGGGATCTTAAAGTTTAATTGTTGAGATCATTTAAGATACATTTGTGTTATCCTCTTCGATTTATATCAAATTTTTAAGATACAATGATATCTTTTATGTATAAATATATTATGAAATTAAATTTAAAGGGTTTTTATATATTAAATGCATTTAGGGAAAATTTGCTAATTAAAACAAAAAATTAAAAGGTCTTATAGGATGTCAAATATGAGATTCTTCAATTGGATCATGGGTCCGAATTTAATATCGATCATAAAAATTTTAAAAGATTTTCTTTGGTATATGGGAAGGATGTGAGAAAACCTAAAAACTTTTAATTTGTGGAAGAAAATGTAAAATTCTGGTAAAAATGATTATGATAATGAAAGGGAACGGATTATTAATAAATATTAGGTTCAAAGATTGAGATATAATTACTATGATATAATGACATTGAAATATAATAATTGAAATATTTGTGATGCTAATAATGCTAAGCTTTAACCATTTTAAGTTAAATCTAGTAAATACTGGCTATCTTTATATAGATTTTAGTTATTTTTATCCTTTAAACTTGGTATAAATTTTACTTTTAAAAGACCTCCCCCTTATTTCTTTTCGTGTAATGATGCATAGTGCTGCCGTAGTTGCTTTTGCTGTTGGCTGCTACTTTGGCAATATGTTTTCGTACGAGCCTTCTTGCTGTGCTTGAATTTTGGTCTTGGACTGGGCGGTCGCCCACGAGGAGGAGGTGGACGTGCATGCGGATGATGCAGGGAGCAGGGAGCTGGGCTCTGGAGGATGGAGTACGGGCTTGGAGGGGGCCCCATAATGAAAGTCGTCGTCTCCCATCGTCGTCTGCATCTTCGTCTTCGTCTCCGGCTCCGTCGCCTCCTTCGTCTTCGGCGGTTTGATCAAATGAATGAATATTATCATCGATGCCTGTTGAATGTTGAACGAGCTGACTTGATGACCGTGCACCGGAGCGACGATCGTAAAGAATTCTTTTTTGTTGTTCTTCCCCTTCTTCTTGCACATCTTGTTGTTGTTGTTGTTGTTGTATTGTTGCACCCAGTAAAGGTATATCTGTGTATGTGCGAGTGGTGTAAGTTGTTTGATCTAATTGGTTCATCGAACCAAGTCTACAAGAGAGCCTTCTCAATCTGCAAAAGTCTTCAGTCTGCCGTCTGCAATCTTGGGATCCCATCCTGCGGATTATGATGTTGGGGCACCTATTCTTTTCTCGTCTCTTATTTTTTTGCCAATTTAGTGGACAATCGTAGGCCAGGCCATAAAAAAATGCTGGCTAACAATAACAACAGCCTAGAGTTGAAGTAGGTAGACACTAAAAGAAAAATGGATAAGGATAATGTGCTAAAAAGGGCTTCAATTTAATTAGGATCAGATACTTTAAGAATCATGAAGATAGTGGTTCTAAAAATGTTACTTGTATACCCTTAAATTAATTGATAAATACAATATAGTTCTTATATATATATTTTTTTTTAATTTAGAGAGTTAAAAGTACTAGTAAACTGAGCAACATGCCTTGTAATAAAGACCTTATACTTGTAGATACATTTACATCCTGAACTTTCTTAATTTTTCCCCTTTATATAGGAAAGTATTATCTATATATTTACCTCATACATTCCAATATCGCTTATTCCCACCTCTATAAAGTATCCAAAACCATCGGATGCATTTCCCTAAAAATGCATTCAACATTTTTTTCTCCTCGACTGGCGGCGACATGTACAAATACAGCAGTTGGTTATTTAACAAGAGTCAAAATCGAAATTCCAGGAATTTAGGATTGGGCTCTTCTTCTTCTGCCCTTTTTTTTATATATTTTTTTTTTCGGGGCGGGGGTCATAATTAAGTGGCCTTAAATGCCGCTAAAGGAATTTCTCGCAGGCGACATTATTATCAGTGTGCCTTTCCCTCTTTCCTCGGCGTTTTTTTTTTCTTTTACGAAACAAACTGATAGGCCCAGAAAATTGTATTCTTCGGCTTCGTTTCATTATATATAGATTGACTTGGCATTGATCGCCTTTCAAAGAATGGAATGTGCTCATATATATTGGTTGGAGTTGGACAAACGAGGGACAATGGACCGAGGAATTTATTGGGGTGCATCATGTGCATCTGCATCTGCATCTGGGAGATACTCTCTTGGCACTCAAACAGGTTGGGGCACTACGGCAATTGCACAATCTTCTAGAGCTTCTGTGTGTAGTTCGATTGGTAGTTCGTCATCGGCAACGGCACAGAAATTCCAATCACATGACTTCATATCGGAGTTGGGTGAGCAGCACTCGCCGTTGTACTTGTTCTCGGTCTTGAATCTTGCCGTCTTGCGTCTTGGGTCTTGAGTCTTACGTCTTGGGTCTTGGGATCTCCTCTAGTCTTCAGTCTTGACTTTTCAGTGTGTTCGCTTTTCCAGTGTTCAGTGCTCGGCAGCATTCAGTTTTTCAGTTCTCAGGCCGCCAAGGCAAGTCAAGTCAAACCAGTTGCCCCGTGACTCAGAGAGGGTGGCTGCGGGGAGTCGCCACTAATTGCATATGCATTTTGCATAATCTCGTAGTAATTACAATAGTTCGATCTCTTGCGTTTTGCCATTCACAAGCCGCCCCTCCAACGTCTATACCCCGTCTCGTCACGTCTCTGGTGGTGGTGGTGCTGCTGCAGTTTGCCTTTCAGTTCATTCATAAAACTTGCTGCAGTCGCTGCTGCAGTCGCCGTTGCCGTCGCTGTCGCTGCCAACGTCGACAACGTCGGATCTCCGATCTGGCTTATACCACTATACTACTATATATGCACAGTATCTCCTCTGCACCCTGCACACGCTGCACCGCAGTGCATTTCATCACTCAGCCGCCACTCCAAAAAAAAAGCACCAAACTCAAGCACATAGAGACGGACCTTCTTGAATACTCTTTCTTTGGGAAATGGGTTTAAAAGATTTATATTAATGGAGACATTATTATTCATGCCAGAAGCAATAGAAATTAATTTACTTTCAGGCTAACAAGTAAGTCTTATGGGTGATTAAGATACTTTTATAGAAATCCAAAACTAAATATGAGAAGACCTTTTCTTTGAGTTACAGTTTATTATTATATTAATCTTAGATGTCCTGATTGTAGATATATTCTCTTTTTCCTACTACAACAAACTGACATATGCTACAAATAAAGTAAATTTATGCAACTGATTGCTCAGTTACAGGTGATATAAAGTATCAGCAATATCAGGTTTACTTTAAAGGTTTTAAATTGAAGCTTGAAAAGATCTTATACTTAAAGAACTAAAATGTATACCACAAATGTAATAATTAGTTTCTTTAATATTAAAGTTATATCTTACTTAGAAAAGATAGAGTTTTAGATGTAGTTGTTCTCAAGTTACATATGTACTTTGAGCTTTAAAACATGAATTGATCTCTATTAAAGTATGGTATTTATTAAAGTTACACCTAGTTTGTTTCTTCTATATCGTATTAAGAACCCCCAGAACCTTCTACCTCTTGCAAGAATCTCTTTTCCTGTCATCAGCTGATAATTCCCATGATAGTAAATCCATCATCGCCAGCCTGGGGACATAGATCACACGAGGGTATGCGAGGTGCGGTGTATTGCGGAGATCTTCACAACAAAATCCGAATCCGATCCATTCCATTCTTGTTTTTTTGACACCAATGCACTCTCTGGCTCTTATCGCACATAATTCATATCTGGTTTCTCGCACTGTAGCACTGCCCCGTGCGTGTGTTAATCTCCCCTGATTTTTTCTTCAGTTTCTTCTTCTTTTTTTCGGTTCTGGTTTCGGTCACTGATAAACTCTGGCTGGGATGGGTGCAACACATCCCCCAGAACCTCAAACCCCACTAAAACCCCATCCCCATTCCCATTCCCATTAATATTAAAATTAAATGCTCGATGCAGCGCTCATTGTTGGCGCCTAATACTTATTGTACACATATATTTCAATTTATTAATTTCGTATGCATAAATCTTGCGCTTTATTTATTCAATTTGAGTCTTTGTTGTCTGCTGATCGCAACGGTGGCCCTGGAGTCACACAGATCTCCTCGCCGAGCGCTGCTGCTCGGACACAATGCATCTGTGGCCTATGGGCTATTGATGCTAACTGGCAGCGGCGGCAGTGGCGGTGGCGGTGGCGGTGGCGGTGGCGGTGGCGGTGGCGGCTACGGGGCTTTCAGGGGTTAAGAACAACGGAGGAGTAAAGAAGAGGGTTAAGAAGGGGGATATTGGGGGCGGGGCACTATCGTTTGAGGCGGCGCACATTCGATCTTTGACTTGTAAATTCTTGGAATGCAGTTAGTGGGGCATTTTAATGGAGGCTGTCGCTGTCTGTCTGCCTGGCGGTCGCCCCTCCGTCGTATCTTTCGGATGCAAATGCCGCTGCAGCAGAACGTACTGTGAGGTGTACGTACTGGTACGAGTATGTGGCGTGTATCTAAAACTTGTGGCATGCCAATTATTGGGGTCAAATGTGATTAAACCTCGTCTAATCGATGTAACTATATTCAACAACCAACTCTTGCGACATTTCCCACTCAACTAGCTCACTTCTTTGACTAATTAATGCTTGTGGAATGTGTCACAGTGGCACTTGAAAAGGTATTTCGATTGCAGTTGCATAAATTTTGATAAAAGTTTGATATCTATTAATATTCTTTAAAGAGTAAGTAACCTTTGTCTTGATCAAACCTCCATATATGGCTATAACTTGGACAATCTCCAGTAACCCCTAATTATATTGACAAGCGTTGACAAGTTCTAATCAAAATTGAAGCTCAATTTATTGAATTAATTTATCCATTAATGATGGGGGTCTCTAGCCTCTATTGAACTCTATTAAAAAATTTAGCAGAACAGCTCTTACAAGATTTTCCAATGGCTTTTCGTGGCTTTGATTGAAATTAAAAGAGGGAGTTGTAGTTGATATAATAAAGATAAATAGGGAAAAACTAATGAAAAATTATTAATTGTTTACATCAAATAAAGAGTAAATAAATTATCTTAAAAAGTTTATTTAACTTGCTTTAATAGGGGCCTTAAATATTGAAAATTAGTACATATTTATGCTTATTTGATCTTATTAAAATTAAAAGAAGCGTTTGATTTTTAATATATATCTTACAAATATTAAAGATTTGATTAGTGATTTTATGGAAACTTTAAGACCCCCAATATAACGATCATTCATTGATTAGAAAACCAACAGCTTCTCCGGTAACCCTTTTCTCCATTCATATTTTTGTTTTTCAATTTCCGTTTGTTTGTCAACAAAAGATCGCCTTCAAGGAAATCCTTATGATATATGTAGTTTGTATCCAAGTTCAAATATCAAGCGGAAATGTGAAAAATATTATTAAAGGGCCAAATTACATAACAAAATTATATGTCGCACATAAACAAGAAACGGAACAAGCCATTCTAGACTCTTCCAAGCTTTCTAGTGCCTCCGCCATTTTGTAGTTCTGCCATTAGAAAAAAAAACAAACAAACTTTAAATACATACATATATACAGAGAAATGAGAGCATATTTATTGTATATACATATATTTAGGTTAACACTTCCGATTTGTGGCCATGTAATTCGAGCAGTTTACGATTATGCAAATGCATCGATTAATGGGCGACAAAATGGCCGAAAGTTACTCGGATCTGGAACTGAACACGTCCACAAAAAACATAAATTTCTACACCTGACGGCCATTTTGTATTTCGGTCTCTTTCATTTGTTGTTGTATTTTATATATGTTGTTGTTTAATTTGTTTTTGTGAGTATTTCATTTTTTTTTTGCGCTCTTTGTGAGATTATTGCTAATTTCGGGTGGCTCTCTTGTGTGTGCTTGTGGTGGGTTTTTTTTTGCGTGTGTTTGTTTTTTTTTTTTTTGTGTGTGGCGGGGGATGTGTGTGGTGGGGTTGACCACGTGATGCGCTCTTTGCAAAAAAATAATAGCCACGAATTTTGGGGGTCTAAAGTAACCCCAAAAAAATACAAGAAATGCATAAAAGTTAGAACAACTTCAGTCTTGCACAGCAAGGACCTATCTAACTTTTTATTTAGACTAAACTTGATCTTAAAACATTTGCCAA